GTGACCACAGCGGATATGGAGCCATTGGCTTGGGCCTGGGCCATGCCTGCAGAGAAGCCATCCATTTGGGCACTGATGTTGGCCTGGCTGCTGGCACAGACTCCAGGCATCTGGAAGGTTCCATGGGCATCACTGGTGGTCATGGTGCCAGGCCAGTCTCGCAGGGAGACCCTGGCTCCTGGCAGTGGTCGGCCAGATGGGGTGACTACCAAGCCCAGGAGGATGTGGTCAGGGCACCCGCAGGTTTTGGGACTACACCCTGGGAGGAGAGATACAGGGAGACAGAGGAGCCTCTTCACCCCCTCCTGGGGAGGGCTTTCCACTTTGTCAGTCACTCAGCAACAGTACCTAGACACCCCCCCATCTTGTGCCCCTCAGAGGCCTCAGCATGACCCGGCTTGGAGCAGCCCCTAGTATGAGGGGGGGACGTGAGGCTGAGTGGTCAGGGCTGGGCTAAGGGGAGGAACCTGGGGTCCAGAGCGGTGAGGAAGATGATCTGGAGGAGGGAACAGGAGAAGTGACTCTCTCAAGGCAGAGAGACTCCTCCCAGGATGCGAGAAAATGTCCAGACAGGGGCTGGGGGCCCAGCGGGGGACTGGGTCTTGGGCCCAGAACATCTCCCTCCCCTCCCAATCCCGCGGTTTCTCCATAAAATGGAAAATTCCACTGGAAACTTCAGGAGAGAGGCGCCGGGAGGGCAGAGCCAGGCTGGGCAGGGTGGGGACCCCACCACCCCATTGGCTACTGTGCTCCCCCACCCTGCCGCCGGCTCTGCCGGCCCAGTCTCCAGACTGTGTTTGTGGAGCCCAGGCCGGATCGGAATTTCCAGTTGCCTCCTGGCTGGCCTGGTGTCTGGCCCTGGGAGGGCCTGGGCATCGTGTCTGCCAGGGTGTGAACGCGTGTCCGCGTGGGCGTGGGGGACAGGCGGGGCTGTGAATGCCACGCGTGTGTGCACCCCAAGAGCGTGAGCCGTCTTCTGTGTGTGTCCACGTCCACCGGGCCATCCACATACTCGGCCGTGTACACAGAGGGAGCACCCTCTCAGATCTGCCCATGCCTGGACACAACCCCCGTGGCGTCCACCCGTCCAGATGTACATGCTCACCAGTGCTCCTCCAGGGGCCCAGAAGGGAAGGAAGGGCGGGTCTCCTTGTGGACCAAGTTCGGGCCCTCCAGGCCCCGCCCTTGTACCCAAGCTCCACCTCTTCCCTCCAAGCCCCGCCCCATCAGGCTCCACCTCAACTAGCCCTTCCCCTCTAGGTACGTCTCTCAACAGGCCCCTCCCCTCCACATCCTGGCCCCGCCTCTACCCAACCCTCTCCTCCAGGCTCCGCCCCTCCTACCTGGGCACGGAGACCGCACACACTTCCGCGCCTCCAGGGGACGCCCGGGACACGCATCCCCAGCGGGGCTTGGGCAGCGGCGGCGGCGCAGACGACGGCCTGGCCCGCAGCTCCCTGAACAGGGGCCCCACGGGCCCCACGAGCCCCACGCGGCCTCTGCGGGGAGGGCAGGGAGAGGAGGGTCAGGCGGCCGCCCACTCCAGGGACTGCGCCTCCTGGAAATCTGGTGACAATGCAGGACTGGAGGACGCCCCGCCACGGGCCTCTGAGGCAGGTACTCCAGAGAGAAGTCTTGCCCACTGCCTCCATCGGTGCTCCCCCAGGCGCACCTGTCGAAGGTGCAGTTGCGGTCCCGCCCCGCCCCCCAGATAAGCTCCCGAGGTTAGCCCCGGTGTTCTCCCTGCGCCCCGCACATATTTGGGGCTCAAAACACGCTCCCACAAAACGGAACTGTTACAGATGAGCAACTGAGGGCAGTGAGAGGGAGAAGCGCTCCTGGGGACCTCTCCCTGCCCGCAGCTGGGACTCGGTTTTTCCCAGCCCTTCCCTTCTAAGGCCCCGCCCCAATCCGGTCCTGCCCGCTCCCCAGTATCACTTATATCGGCCCCGCCCCTCCGTAGCCCCGCCCACCATCAAGGCCCCGCCCCTCCTGGTCCCCGCCCTCACCGAGCGGGCAGCGGAAGCGCACGTGGTAGTTGGAGCAGCGGCGGCCGCGCGGCTGCTCGCGGTTGAGACACCAGAAACCGCGCGTGGGGTTCAAGTGCACGCGCTCGCCGACGGCAGACGGCAGGGCCCAGTCGGTGGTGCGCGCCTCCAGCGCTAACGGCCGGGGACACACGCGCGCCGGACCGTAATAGAAGCGAATGGCAGCCAGGCTCTCGAAGTCTCCGTCGCCGCCCGGGTGGTCCACGTTGAACCAGGACGTCCACTCGCTGGCCTCTGCGGGCACCGCACGCGCTGGGACCCCGGCCACAGCCTGTCGGGCCCCATCAGTGCATGCAGGGGCCCGGGCCGTGGCCTGTCCACTCTCTTTTGCGTGGTAAGGGCCTTCCTTACCTGCTGTCTAAGCCGGATCCTCCTCACCCTCCAGGAGCACGGGATAGCCCAGCCCGCCCACGACCCCTCCCAGATCCAGAACCCTCTAGGGCAGAAGGAGCTGTAAAGTGGTCACAGGACGTTGGCCGCCCCTTGCATCAGCCCTGGTTCCGCCCAGTGCCTGAGCTTGCCCATCAGTGCACGCTGAGATCTCGCCCCCGCCCTCAGAATTCAGAACCCCTGAGGTGTGAGGAGATATAAAAGCAGCAGGAGGAGCCTGAGACCAGCCCTAGCTATGACTTTCTGCTGCCTGGCAGCCCCCCCGTTAGCGCTAGCTGGGACCTTGCTCACTGCCCACTGAACCCACCAGGCAGCCTCTGTTTCACAGAAGCCACAGGCAGGAAGGGGCTGGCCTCCCACAGGTCAGCTCCTGCTTCCATCCATTCCCCAGGGAGTGCTCATTCCTTTCCTGACTCAAGAGCAACTTTCCTGGCCCGGAAACTAGAGACCCTAGGTTCCAGAACTCCTGCTTCTCTAACTGATGTGGGCAGGTTGTCCCATCCCCCCACCCCCACCCCCACCTCTTTTTCCTCCTTGACAAACAGCCTGGACTCTCACCTCCCTGCTCCTAAAACTGAGACCTCTTGGGGCACCATTCCAGGGGCTGCCATGTCCAGGGACTCTGGCTCTTCACCCAGCTTGTGTCCCCTCCTCACGTGACCCCACCAGCCAGAGCTCACACAGCAAGTCCACAGCAGAGCCAGGACTTGGACCCAGGCTGACTCACCTTCCCAGTCCTCCAGGGCTGGTGATGGCTGGCTAGGGCGCAACGGTGGACCCTCAAGGGCCCATGCAATTGCTGTGGGCTCCTCATTGGGGATGGTGCCTGTGGAAGGGGTGAGGAGTGAGGGGAAGGCCAAGCGCTGATGGAGACCACTGTGAGCTCTTTTTATGCAAGGTGCTGCCACGATCATCCCCATCTCGCAGGGGAGAAAACTGAGGCTCTGAGAAGCCAGAACCCAGCTCTGGCTGATCCCAAGGACTGCAGCGCCCCCTCCTCCAGGAAGGCTCCCCATGACCCTCTACCCCAGTCTCCCACAGCCCCACCCCTCCCTCTGACCCAGCCCCAACTCCATGGGCTGGGGAAGTCTGTGTCCATCTGCTCCCCCCCACCCACTTCTCCCCTGGGTGTGTTCGGTGGTCATGAGTTCCGTGGGCTGTGCCTCTGCCCTCAGGTTGAGCTGCATTCCGCTTCATCCATTTGCCTCTGGAATTCGCTCCCTCAGTCTACCTTCCATCCAAGCTGCCAGTGGGAAGGCCTTGGAATCTAGCCTGGCTTCTCTGGCCTCATGTTATCTGAGATAGCCAGACTGGGCAATGACCTCAGACAAGTCCCTTCCCTCTCAGAGCCTCAGTCTCCTCATCTGAGAAATGGGCCCAGTTCCCCTGCTCGGCCCTGAGTGTTCCAGAAACGGGAATTTCTTTTCTGAGTGGTGTGTGTGTGGAAGAGGGGAGGAGTTAGGTGAGAGGGGACGGCTCTGACCCCATCATCCTGGGGCCAGGACCGGGTGCTTCGGGGTCCAAACGCTGGGGCTGAGACGGGCGCCCCGCGGCCCCTGGAAACCCAGAGAAACCTGAAGTTCAGATCCACACTCCGGGTACCCCTCCCGTCTCTTCAAGGAGGGCAGAGAGCAGAGAAGGTCCCCTCCCCGCCCTAGTTGGTCCCAGGGCTCTGTCTCCCCATCGCCTCCTGCCTCCACCCCAGGCTGGCGAAGGGGACCCAGGCCTGGGGAAGGTCCCTCGGCTGTCTCTCCAGGCGCGGCTGCATCCCAGGCCCGCTGCCAGACGGCCGGGCGCCTAGGGGGCTGGGCTGGGGGCTGGGGGCTGGGAGGGCCTCACCTCGGGCCCCCGCCAGGTGCGCGGCGGCGACAAAGAGGCAGAGTAGTGGTGGCAGTGACGCCATGGCCGGATCCGAGCGTCCGAGGAAGGGTCTAGGCTCTGCGGCGAGCTCGGGTCGGACTCCCGGAGGTCTGGCGGCCGCTGGGGCTGAGGGTGGGGGCGGACGCGACCGCAGGCCCCGCCCCATCCAGGCCCCGCCCCGTCCAAGCGACCCTCTTCGGCCCTGGGTGACTTTGATGCGCGAGCAACCTCTCTGTGTCGCCCCTGTCGTGCGTCCGTCTGTGCCTCCGCCCTCGGGCTGGCCTGCGTTCCCCGTCGCCTGCTGGAAGTCCCTCCTTCTGCCCACCCTCCATTCTCCACGTTGGGTTCCAAGCTGCCTGCGGGAAGTGCCTCTTGGAATCGAGCCTGAAGCTGCCCCAGCCTTCCTGCTTTAGGCTGCTCTTTAGGCGGCTCTAAGTCCTCCGTCGAGTCTAACTTCGATCCAGGTGGCTTTACACCACCCCCTACTCCAGCAGGCTGGAAGTCCCACTCTGAATCTACCCTCCACTTTTCTGGCTCCAGTTTTCTCGGAGGCCAGCGGGAAGTCCCACCCTATGTCTACCCTCCAGTCCTCCCACCTTGGGCCGCCAGGAGCCAGTGAGAAGTCCCCCCCGGGTTTGCGCACCCCGCGCGAGCTCGGTGCACAGAGGAGGCGGAGGCGAGGTGGCAGCGGGACGTCTGTTTATTGGCCGGGGTCCGGCCGCGTGGGCGCGGGGGGCGCTCACAGCGCCACCACGCAGTCGGTGTCAGTGTAGCTCGGCAGGCGCAGCGCGAACTTGCGGCGCACGTCGTCGGGCACGAACCTGCCGGCCACGAAGTGGTGGCGCCCGGAGAAGCGGCCGGCGCAGCGCTTGGGCGCCGCCAGCGACACCAGCATGTCCGGCCGCAGCCCGTCCTCCGCGTCGCCGCCGGTCTCCGAGTCCCAGCCTGAGGGAGGAGGGCGGGAGGGGGATCGAGAGCTGGGAGAGTGGCTCACCCTCAGAGGAGAGTCCTGCCGCCCCACCACCCACTTCCCTTTCCCCCGTCAGACCAGCCTCTGCTTTCTGAATGGGAGTCTTGGTCAGACCTGCCTCCCCGTAGAACTGAGCCTCTGCCCTCAGACCAGTCTCTCTCCCTACTTGGAAGGCGTTTGCCTCTCCCTCTGACCACAGCCTCTACCCTCGTGCGCTTCTTACCGTGCTCCCATCCTGCTGCCCAATCTTCCTCCTCCATCTGACTCAGCCTCTGCCTTCAGATTACATTATTTCCACCTGCTGACCTTTCCCAGTCAGACCCACGCCTCTGCCTTCTGAATCGGCAGCCTGTCCCCATACCTCCTTCCCTACCAATCCTGAGCTTCCCCGCTTAGACTAGCACCTCTTCCCACCCAGACTTCTCAGCCAGCCTGCCCCCCCTGACCAGATCCCCACTCTCCACTCAGAGGACAGACTTGCCTCCATCCTCAGGCAAGCCTCCCCCATCAGACCTGTCTCCTTGCCCCAGGTTCTTGCCTCTGACAGGACGTGCCCCCTCCCCAGCCAATTTCAGCATCTGTCCATCCTCCTCTCTCTGCCTAGAGACTCTTCCTTCTGACCTGACATCCCTGCCTTCACCCTCAGACTAGATCTTGCCGTTTGACTTGGCAGGACCACCCCCCTCCATTGGGCCGTAGCCTCTACCACCTCTCAAATGAGCCTCCTCCTTCAGACCAGGGTCCTTGCCTTCTGTTCTGCCTCTGACTGGAGTCTGGGGCCACTAACTAAAAGCCTCCACCCTCCAACTATAATCCTTCCTTCTGTTACCCTAGCCTCCACCCTCAGACCAGAGAGCCCATCTCCCCACAGCCAACCCCCTGCTCTGTAGCACCCTACTGGGACGGCCCTGGGGTCTTGCAAGCCAGGGGACATCCCCGAGTCCAGCCACCCCCGTGGAGGGTCTGGCTGGCCAGCGGCTGTTTGTTCCATCTGCCCATTGCCTAATGGCTCCAACAGGCGTGGGGTGGCGGCCAGAACAGGCAAGGCCTTTGCCAAGTGAGCTCACGTCTGCCCAGGCAACTGGGCCAGGGTGGGCAGCAGGCATGCTGGGCTGGGTGTGGGGGGAGGGGACTCGGGGTCACCTGGGCAGCAGCCTCGGTCTTCCTCATCTGAGGGATGGATGTGACCCTCAGCCTCACCCAGAGTGCACGATCCATCTACACTGGGGCCACTGAGGCTCCGAATGGGCAGACAGGCCAGGGCTACCAGAAGCCAGGGTACAGGGGCCCCCACACAAGCCCCCCAGGCCCCGATGTGCCCCCTCCACCTGGCATGCCTGAGGGAATGTCCAGGCTCACGAGGGGGATGGACAGCAGCTTGAGTGTGGCCAGCACACATGTGCAGGGGACCCCGACCTCACCCGGCTCCACGTCAGGGCCCACCACGGCATCCACCACCAGCCCCTAGGCATTGTTGATGAGCTGGACCTGAGAGGGCAGGCAGGGTCAGGTGGCGGCCTTGGGGCACCGTCCCCCACCTCCAGTCCCAGTTGCCATGGAACGCTGACCTCCGTGGGCAGATAGGACAGGAAGGGGATGTCCATCTTCTCACACTGCGTAGTCAGGTCCTGGTGCAGCGGGTCCAGGGAGCGTGTGGGGTACAAGATGGTCGGTTCATAGTCCTGGGGAGGGGCAGGAAGGAGTCAGCGCTGGGGACTCTCTTAGGCTCCCCTCGGGGTCTTAGCCCCCAGACCTGGATACCCGGCAGCAGACCCTGCCTGGGGCAAACACTGGGCATATTCTGTAATCTTTCCAGCCTCAATGTCCCCCTGGGACACTATCAAGAGGAGGAAGCAGGTCTGCAGGGACTGGGTGGGGGGTGACCCTGGGAGGCCAAGGGGATCCTTGCTACTCACAAACACCCGCAGGTGCCGGGCACAGACCAGCCCCACCGCCCCGTTCTGCTCCGGGCCACACAGGACCAGCACCATCCTCTGCTTCCGAGAGAGAGCAAGCAAGGGGAACACCTGGCAAGAGGCACAGCAAAGTTAAGGGCACAGGGCTCAGAATTCCTTCTTGCTCCGGTGGGGAAACTGAGGCCCGGAGTAGAGGAAGGGATGGGGCTTGGGCCTGGAGGCAAGAGGACAGGACAGAGGAGAGGTGTCCTAGGTGAGGTTCTAGGTGAGGGGCAGGGCCTCTTGGGGCCTCAGTTACTTCATTGGAGATGCATAGTCCTTGCCTCAGGCTCTGCCAAGCCCAACCAGGAAAACGTGCCTCCTGCCACCACCCGGCGCCCGCCCGGACTGCGGTTTGTTTATTCTCGGCCCGAACTGCAGACATTCTTCCACCTTTTTCCACCGCAGTGGCTGCCCCTCCCCCGCCCATGTTTCCAGGCCTCGGTCCCTCCTGGAGGCCCCAAACTGGCGGGAGCAGGGGAGGGGGGGAGGTACTTTTCCAACCTGCCATGCCGTCTCTTCGTCTCTCTCAGTCTGTCCCTCTCCATCCAGTCTCTCTGTCTTCGTCTCTGTTTTTCTGTTTGTCAGTCTCTATCTCTCAGACTCTCTGTGTCTCTGTGGGCCTGTGGGTCTCTCTGTCTTTAGCACAGGAGTTAAGAGTGCTGCTGGTGTTCGAGACCCAGCCCTGCCTTGATTCTCTGCACGGCCTCGTCCCCCTCTCCTCTCCCAGCCTCAATTTCCTTCCATCAAATGGGAGTGACGACGGCTCTGACAGGCACGTGAGGTGGCTCTGGGGGGGCCCCACCAGGTTCTAACTTCCAACCACACAGAGGGGAAGTTATTCGCATTTTGAGTCTCCGCCCCAAAGTCTCAGCAAGGTCCTGACCTGCACTGAGGGCAGCTGTGCCCCCAAGACACCAGGCTCAAAGCTGAAGACCCGCGACCGAGTCAGGGAGGGTGACAGCGTCTGGCTAGCTGGGACCAAGGGCCTCCTGGATGGACACAGGGCTGTCAGGGCAAAAACTGGACAGTTGGTCACCAAGGGCCAGGTTGGAGTTTAACTCCTGTCAGTTTATAACTCTTTCTTCAGAGGAGGAAACTGAGGCCCAGCATGGTTTGGCAACATGGCTTGAAGCACTGGACTCTTGGAGGCACCTTGAGGGCTGGGGCTTTGCCCCAGAGCGGGACACAGCTCTGCTTCTCACCCCCTGGGAGCCTGCGCAGCCCCTCCCAGCCTCTCGACCTTATTTTCCCCACCTGTGACACAGGGTCCTTTGGGGGTGCTCAGACTGCAGGAGCTGACGTCCCCTGTGCCTGAGACTCAGAAGGTGGCAGACACAGGCAGTCATGTCTGTACCTCAAGGGCCCCAGACTGGTCCCTGCAGTAGCTCAGTATCTGCTCCCCAGCCTCACATCTCTGGGGGGCCCCGTCTCTGCCCTGACACTCACTGACACCCTGGCCTGGCCCAATGATGATCCTCTCTGGGCCTCAGTTTCCCCATCTGAGTGATGGGCTGGGGTGGCCCCAAGCAAAGAGGGCCTTCTTGAGGACAGGCCCATCCTGGCCATGGGGCTGGAGGGTGGGGAGGGGCAGTGCAGGTAGCTTTGGCCATGGTGGGCTGGCCATTTTTCGGGTCAAGGTGAGGGTCAGGAGTCAGGTACCTTGGTCACAGCCACGGCACTAGCATGGCCGCACAACTCGACCAACTGCTGCCGCCCAAAGCGATAATCCTCCAGCAGCTCCCGCTCCAGGGCGGCCGCCTCCGCGGTGCTGGGGGACAGAGCGGGGACAGACCCTCAGAGACAGACAGAGATGGAGAGAGGGCCTAAAGACAGACTCAGATGGAGCCAGAAATATTCCACCAATGTTCCGAGCCAGGCCCTAATGCCACCCGCCACCCTCGTGCAGCTGCCGCAGCCCAGAGCCACGGATCTTCGCTCAGTTTGCCTACTCCACGCGCACACGTTTGAACAGAAGCCTGGTAAGCAGCGGGAGGTTTGAGCCAAAGCCTGACGCGCGGGCGCCCTCTGGTGGTCGAAGAAGCGCGTGGCGGTGCCTGTTGGCTCTATTGCCCCAAAGCGTGGGAGATTGAGCCCGACTCTGACGCCCGAAGGCCGGAGGAACCCAGAAGGGGAATGGAGCGTGGACTTTGATGGGGGCGACTGGGATGGATTTCAGGAAATAGAAACCACTGAGCGAGCTCCAGGACGCTGGAGGGGATGGACTGGACCCGGAGGTGCCTGGAGAAGTAGGTTTTGAAGGTTGCAGAGGAGTCTGATGGCTCACTTAGGAGGGTGGATGTGGGAGCCGCAGCTTTGAGACCCATTGGTGACCCTTCTTCAAGGGCAGTGAAATAAAATAACTGTGGCCAGAGAGACGGGGCCAACTCGCCTGAGGTGAAGCTCTGCCACCAACTCACTGAGTTACTGGGGTCCATCTCATCTCCCTGAGCCTCACTTCCTCCTTTGCAAAAGTGAAGGCGGGATAGGCTAGATAATTTTCCAGGCCCAGTGCAAAATGCAAATGTGGGGCCCCTTGTTCAGAAATTACTAAGAATTTTAAGGTGGTGACGGCAGAGCATTAAACAAGTGTTGGGACCTTCTAAGTGCCGGGACCAAGCTGGCCCTGGCCTAGGGGACTTCCAAGGGGCACAGGCTTGGTGGCTGCAGAGAGTGAGAGCTGGCAATGAGGATGGGAAGATGTTCCTCACTCTAGAGTCAGGGGTTGGGGCAGCTGGGAAGGGTCTAAGACTTGATGCCAGCTTCTCCCAGGCAGGACCCCCTCCTGCTGAGGAAAAGCACCTACCCCTAGCTCAGCAGACCCTAGAGAATGTAATAACGATGATAATGATGACGACGACGACGACGATGCAGAACCTGGCCCAGAAGAGTTGGAAGAACACCCAACAACTCAGAGAAGCCAAGTGTCTTGCCCAGGGTCATGCAGGAAGCAAATGGGAAACCTGGGACTTCCACCCTTGGCCTCCATCTCCAGAGCCACGGGATGTTAGCAGAGAAGCAGAGGTTTGGTGGGATGAATCCTGAGATTCCCTTCTTTGATTCTGTGAGCAGGAGACCACAACCTTCCCGCCAGTTCTGCAGCGTGATCAGGCCAGGTAGCAGGAGGGGTGGAGGTGGGGAGTGAGGGCTGCTGTGGGACAGGGAGTCACGGGGGCTTCCTGGAGGAGGAGGCCTAGAGCACTGTAGGAGGTAATCCAGGTGGCAGGAACAGTGAGGGCCAAGTCCTTGTGCTGGGAATGAGCTTGGCAGGTTCAAGGGACAGAAGAGAGGCTGGTGTGGCTGAAGCAGAGCAAGTGAGACCGAGAAACTGGGTCAGGAAGACACTTTGGGGCCCACGCAGATGGGGGAGACAGAGGCTTAGGACAGGGAGGCCACATACCCTGAGTCACCCCAGCAACCAAGCCAGATTCAACTCTGGGCTTGTCTTTGGCCTACGTTGGAAGAGGCTGAAGGACCAGGTGAGGAAAAGGAGCTCACAGTGGAATCAGATGAAGAGCATCCCCTGGGCAGGCCGGCCCAGCTCCCGGGAAAGAACATTGGAGAAGGCGCATGTGTTCAGAAATGTGGCTCATTCTTCCACCTTCATCTTGTGAGAGCTCTGGCTGCAGCCCCCACAGGAGGGTGGGAGGAGGGTGGAGGAGTATCCTTTCCTCCTCTCTTCTTCCCGTCCCAAAGCTTTGGCCTCAGCTGCCACTTGGAACATTATCTTCCTGCCTAACTGGGTCATTAGAGTGATAATGGGGACTCGTGGGCAGAGGGAGGTCCAGGCTAGGAGCCTGAGGGTGGGGGCAGGAGGGAATTCGAGCCAGTGCGGAAGGGGGACAAGGCAGAGTTGTTGTGAGATTGGGGGAGGGAGCTCAGTTATGAGGGTGCCCCTTGCTTCTCCCAACCTCAGCCCCCAGAGGAGAGGCGCTTTCAGGCCCCAGGATTTGCCTGCCAGCCCCAGAAGGGCTGAGGTGATCTGGTTTCAAAGGGAACTGGGCCTGACACTCCCAGAATGCTTCTGGGAGGAAGCAAGGAGGACTCTAAGCAGGGGAGGCAGCTCTTTTGAAGTGAAGCCCTGAGGCCAGGGTGCCCGTGCCAGACCCTCCCTGCTCTCTCAGCTCCATCTGCTTCTCTCCACACTCATGCCTCTGCCCACTAGCCTGCCAGCATTGCTCACCTGGCTGCCTACAGCAGTTTCATACCCCCCAACTCCTCAAAACGAGTCGCAGGGGCTTTGAAAACTTGAACACCAGATCACATCATTTCCTATCCCAAACCAACTTATGGCTCCCCAGTATTCAGAGAATATTCAAATTTCTCACTATGCCTACACACCCCCCATTATGTCTCCAACCTCACTGCCTCCTCTCCCCTTGCTCAGTGTTCTCCTCCTACCCATCTCACAGCACCCCATCATTCCTCAGTTGGCATTTGAGGCCCAACACAACTGGCCCTGCCATCCCCCATGCCAGGTGAAGTCCCAGCTCCAGCTTCTAAACCATTCTCCTCCCCCTGCCTAGGATGTGCTGGGTCTCCAGGCTGAGTCCGAACATTCTCCAGTCACTGGACAGTAACTGCCCTTACTGAGGGGACAGCAGGCAGGTGGTCGCACGAGAGGCTGTTGAATGAATCTGTGTACAGTGAGGTCCACAGCCCTGCTTGGGGTCCCATGTCACAAGGGCTTAGAGAACAGAGGAGAATGACTCAGGATGAGGTGGGAGACACAGCTGCTAGCTCCAGACCCCAAACTCATCAGCCCACTGGCAAGTGGCCCATGTTTTCAAAACTCACCCTAGCACTGGCTCAGCCAGTGGCTTCCCTCCCCAGGCCTCAGTTTCCTTCTCTGGACAAGCGGCTACTGGCAGGGGGACCACCAAGGAGGGGTGTGAGCGTTTGAGCCAAGAGTAAAAGAGCTCAGCTCTTGCTAGATGGGGAAGGAGGGGCGGGGGCTCCAGAGTCCCTGGGAAGATGGAAAGGGGACGTGGCCCAGGTTCTGTTGCGAGGTGATGAGGGAGGGGCTATCGGTGATGAATAATTCATGAGGGGCGGGCCCGCCGCGGATGCAGTTTCTCTGACAACACAGCTTCAGAGGCGTCGGCAGCTGCAGGCTTAGTCTCTTCAGCGAAACGCAGGGTGGGGCTCGGATTCCCCGGGGCCGCATCCTGCCATGCCTCTGCCCACGATACCCACTCCCAGCCATGCCCCTGCATCGAGTCCCCCAATCCCCGGGCCGCATCCCTGCCACAGTCTCCAGCGTCCCCTTCCCCGGCGTCCCCTTTCCGGCTGACCTTAGGAAACGCTGCTCCTTGTCCTCGGTCGCCTCCCCCGGGTCTGAGCCGGTGCGCAGCGGGGCTCGGCCACAGCCACCACAGCCTTTCAAGCGCATCCCCGGGCAGAGGGAGCCCCCCCTCCTCCCGCCCACCCTGCGTGCCTGCCAATCAGAAGGCGCCTGCGAAGGCGCTGCGCGCGGCCATTGGCCAGTGGGCACAGGCGGACTTAACCCTTTCATGCCAGGAGCGGAGCCACTACACGGACAGAGGGAAGTTCAGAGTGGTGGATATTGACAGGTAAATGAAGTCTGGAGGGGCAGCGATGGGCCGGTTACCCCTGCTATGGGATCCTGGCCTGGGGGCAAGGGGACACGCCTCTACCAGCCCGGCAAAACCCTGGTGCTCTCC